AAGGTAGTCACCATGGCCCTCAGTTCCAATTTCCCAGGTGCAGCCTCAACATTTTCTCAGCATGGTGGAGCCACACTTCTGTCCTCTCATGGTCCCACATAAAGGCTTTCTGGCTCTCCTAGGTACCTAAATGTCCCCAAGACTCATTGTTTTCTTCTCCACTCTGCAAGGCAAGAGTCACAAATCACCAAGTCATCCAGACAAGATATGTGCCTAGAATTCTACTGGGCCTGTGTCCACTGTGACCAACTTACATCTTGGCCTGTGTCTAGACACAGTGTGACACTGGCATCCCTGACATAGAAGACTAGGGAAGGATGAGGATGTTTTTTCTTTGACATATCAGAGTGCAGAGTCTATGCTGGGGAAGAATATCCAACAACTGGGAGAGTCTCTGGCCTCTGGCTGGAACTGATGTCTAGCTTCTAGTCACTGTGTGGAAAACTAAATATATATGGAGAGGAGTCTATGGCATGCTTGAAAATCATGTACATCTCTGAGTCCTGAGGACCAGTTCATACTGAGATCCTCATGTCCCTTTAACCCAATTCAGCAGCAGGATGTGAAAAAGTGTTCATGCAAACTATCCTTTTCTCTGGACCCTGAATATGAACCCTGACCAGAAAACTGATACTGGAAGAGAGTGTACCTTGGTTGGTCTGGGGTTCCTCCTCAGGACGTTGTGAATACACAACTGCTGAGCCCCAGCTAGCAGATGACAGATGATTTCAGCCAAGGGGCTTACAGCAGCTCCTAGGTGGAATCCAAAACAGTTGTCAAGGGGAGCCAACAATCTCTGTTACCAGAAGTCCAGATCCACCCCTGTTGTCTTCTCTGTTGTCCACTGTATCCTCTGTAAAAGGATAGAATTGGTTGGTGTCAATATATAATGACACATATGATGACTCAAGTCTCCACACAGACCCTTTGTATATAGAGTCTTCTTTCCAGATGAGGTGGAGTTTACAGGACAACCCTGAGAATTTTGTACCCCTGATGGTGACTCCTGGGATGCAACAGAATAAGAATTTATCAGAGAAACAAAGCAGTCACCGTAAGTTTCACATGTCCTTTCCCCTCTCATGACAAGCAGAATTCAGCTAATGTAGGGTCAATTATGGATTTGGGGGCTTTTGCTATGTGGCTCTTCTTCCTCTTCTCATTCCTCTTTCCTTCCCATTCCTCTTTCCCTTCCTCCTCCTCCATCTCTTTTTCCTCCTTCATCTTTTTTCTCTTCTTCTTCTTCATCTTCTAGTTCATCGTCAAGACATAGTCTTGCTAATTATCTCTGGGATAGTTTCTCCTTATGTAGCCCAGATTGGCCTTGAAGTGTAGATAACCCTACCTCAACTTCTCACATGCTGAGATCAGAAGTATGGCCACACACGCAAATATCCTTCAGAAAGTTGAGTGGTGACAGCCACATAATGAATGTTCTCCATCTGCTAAGAAGAGATTTGTGTACAAGATTGGAATCAGTGTTCAAGTACCTGGAAATCTGGTGGGAGTTTAAAATTAAAAGGTGCTATTGTGTACAGATTTGTGTCCAACCCAATGACATTCTACATGTTGGAATCCTACACAATGAGATAGTGTTAAGAGGTGGTACACATTTGAGGTGATTCCATCATGAGTGGGACTAGTGCCTTTATGAAACAGGCAATATACAAATAAATATATGTACATATGTCTATAATCATATGAGGATAGGTAAGACACCTAAAAAATTAGCTAGAATTTATTGTCCTTAACACAGAGAAACTAAAGCAGATACCTTGAAAGCAACTGAGGCCAATAGGAAAAGGGGACCAGGAACTAGAGAAAAGGTTAGATCAAAAAGAATTAACCTAGAAGGTAACACACAAGCACAGGAAATTAATGTGAGTCAACTCCCTGTATAGCTATCCTTATCTCAACCAGCAAAAACACTTGTTCCTTCCTACTATTGCTTATATTCTCTCTTCAACAAAATTAGAGATAAGGGTAAAATAGTTTCTGCTGGGTATCGAGGGGTTGGGGGAAGGAAGGATGGGGTGGAGTGGGTGGTAAGGTAGGGGGTGGGGCAGGGGGGAGAAATGACCCAAGCCTTGTATGCACATATGAATAATAAAACAATAAAAAAAACCCAAAAACCAAATAAATATATGTACATATGTCTATATTCATATATATATGAATATAGAATGAACGATCTTCAAACCATGGAACAGACCCACCCCAGAAAATAATGATCAGTGTCCTGATCATGAGTTTTAGTTGCTTCAACATCTGTGAGAAATACATGGTTATTGTTTATAAGCCATCATTCTCAGGGTAATCTGTCATAGTTCTCCCAATGCCTTATGTCATTGGGAGAGCAACAGAGGGATGGCTAATTTAGCTCTGGATAAAAACAACGTGATACCTAAGGGTCATTATCTTGCCTGACTCTTACTATTATTTGAAGCTAGTATAAAGACCACATGATGTCCAAGGAGATTGAAAGAGGAACAGTAATGATACTCCTGAGGAGCTATTAACAAGAGCCCTTATGTCAGTCACCTTGTAGAGACAAGTGTGAGAGAGGCCTGAGCAGAACAGGATGACCACCCAGTTGTCATTTTAAAACACCAGTATGTGGAAATAACTCCATCTATATTTCTGATCTTCATTCAGTACTCTTATTATAGAATACATTTTCTTTTGAGAATGTACCTAAACCCTGTGTGGCCCAAGCATCACTGAAGTCTCAGCAGAGTCAGAAGATCCCCATAAGGAGCATAATGGAGGTGGTTATAATGGAACCTATGTCTGTGGGAGTCAGTGCCATGCTGGTGGTCACTATGCTCACTAAGATGACAGAATTACTGTTTTATCTTAGGGAGGAGGAGTCTGGTGTCACTGGAGACACCAAAATTTGCTTGCTATTTGAATCAGAAAAGCAAAGCAGTTACCAGAGTCAGGCTGGAGTTAACAGGTTCAGTGGAAGGTGATTTCTTCCTTGTGGTTGGTCAAATGGTCTGTGTTGGGCACACTATGGACTCAATGACTTACCAGGAGTTCTCACATTACAAATATGTGTGAGGCAAGCATAGGCACTGAAGAGAAACTGGGTGGGGTCAGTGTAATAATCCTGGCCCATCATCTCCTTAGAGGCTAATTGAGTGCCATAGAGGGGGTCTTGTTTGGGAATATATTAGCTACATATCATAACTAATGAATACTACAAGATATTTTCATGTCTGTACGTACTAGAATACACTTATTAGCAAAAAAGTTATGATAAATCACTTCCTAATTTGCAACAGTCCCAGACAGTATAAGGCTGATATAAAAAAAGAGAGGTTTTACTCTCACTTCCCCCTTGGTCTGGAACACTGTGTTAGTGCCAGTGTTGCTATGATAAGTTGCACAGGAATAGTCAGCCTCATCCTCAGGCTGAAGTCCAGAGAAGAGTAAAATCCCTGCATTGGCTGAGGCATCTTTGCATCCAGAGAAGCGGCTGGGGACCCCAGGTCCCTGGTACTTATTTGAGTCTGAGTATTATCTTAGCAGAAACTGAGGCACACTCTCTATCTTCTGCTGGTACCAGAATATATGATATCCAGGTACTTTAAAGCCACTGCTCAGTGTGCAGGTGATTCTGGCAGAAGATCCAGGAGATGCAGAGACAGAGGACATCTGAGTCAACACAGGCTGGGAGAGCGAACCTGGAAATAGAAACAGTGCTGAGTGTGTAAGCAAAGACAATTATATAGCAGCTAAGACATCCTAGCCACAGGGGCCTGGCTCCGACAGGGTGGAAGGCCCAGGGTATTTGTATCCTGCTCTTTCCAGAGAAGTGACGGAAGAGTAGGAGGACGAAACCCAGGCCATGTTCCGCACCTCTTTCCTGAGGTTCATAGCTGCACTGAGCTGTTCTGAGCCTCTCTTATCTTCTCCTGAATGGCAAGAAGAAGGAAAGGACATGCAAATATGTCCCCACCTACCACTCTCCAGTACCACTTAATTAGGTCCTCAGACACGGAAGTCTAAATGTTGTGATGTGTTCATTTGTCTATTGGTTGTAACCAGAAGGAGGCAGGTCTTGGTAACTCAACTGAAGACCCAGCTACTGAGTCCATATTAATAATTTAGAGTCCACTTCCTTCTGCTAACCTAACATCCACTCAGAGTTTCTTGGCGACTCCTCTGCAAGAGCACAATTTAAGATCCCATAGAGCCCCACCATCTGAGTCCTACCAACCCCATTTTTCTTACATTTTTATCTTTTCATGGTGATCCCAGGAATGAGACACTTATGTGCTCAGCAAAAGGATCAGCTACATAATATTAACTCCCCAAATGTATGTGTTTTGAGGCACTTGTTATTTCAAAGGAAAAATTCACCAGAAACCAGTAACACAGTGATTATAAACATTGTCACCAAAGAGAATAGCTGTCCTAGAATGCTCACAGCTGGGATGTTTAGGACAGTCTCCTGAGTGAATGACAGTTTTTCAGGTGCTACTATAATGTGCAAGGTAAATCAGGTGAGGGGTTTCTCATTCATAACTGCTATTAAAAAATTTGTACTATTCAGTGTACTATCAGCAAAAGAAATTTATTTCTAAGGGATTGAAGACTGAGGAATCCATCTTAGCAGATTTGGTGTCTGACAAGGGCCTCAGAAAACTATCTCCTTCTTGTGTTTCTACATGCATAGGGTGTGAAGGATCTCTCTCAGGCTTCTTCCATAAAATATTAATCCCATTCATGAAGGGTCTGTAACACCTGACCTAATTATGCCCTGAAGACTCCACCCCCTAATACAATCACCTTGGAAATTAGAATACCAATTGGTGAAAGGGTGTGAGACTTGCCTACATTTTAACTCAACTAAGGTACTTGCTAACAGACATAAGGAACTGAAAATACATTGACCAGGCTAAATAAAACAGTAACACTAATATTTCCAGGGTCTCCCCAGACTATGCTCAGAATTCTATGAGAGGTGAGGGCAGCTGTAACATTCCAGGTACCAACACAGGCATGACTCCTGGAGAAATTGCAGTGTTCGATTCTTCACATGATTTCATGTTCCCCAGATTCAGGCATTTCCTGCAAAAGTTGAGGAGCAGTGAAAGACACAGCTGGAGGGTCTAGTGAGACATTCCTTGGGTTGTACATTCTGATTTTTCTTCTCCATCCCACAGGAAGTAAGGTGATTTTTATACAATTCTATTATTCCACACACATCTTGTGAAGTGAGTCTTCCTCATCTTTTTGGGTGTTGGTCCTCTGTGGGGCAGATGAAGGGAAGTACCTTGCATGGTATTCCCTAGGGTCCCCAAGGAAAAGTAGGAAGAGAAAATCTGCCTGGAAGCAGGTTTCTGCTTTGTAGCTGAAAAAAACTCCACCAGACCTCTCAGCAACTTCCTACAGGGCTTTCTGAGGTCCATGACAGAACTTCCATTATTTCTGAGATAAGATACCTGCCACCTCCACAGAGAAATTTGCATTCCTCACAGCCTTCATTAAGAGAGGGTCCAAATCAGGGAATTCATGCTTGCTTTTCCTCATTTATATCCTTCAGTCCTTAATTCAAAGCTGTACTGTGTCAATATGGAATCTTAAGGAATGAAACTCTATCTATTTATCAGAACATTAGAATGAAGTTTTAGGACACTTCTGAGAGAGAATCTGTCCTTAATCTAGCATAACCATACACTGTGTGCACTAGAGGTGACTGGCCCTTCTGATGTGGAGGTAAGAGATCATCAGTTTTATTCTCTTTTGCCCTATAACCCAAATATCAGGATATGAGTTTGTCACCTGATCCTTGCTTTTGACCCTATTCACCTTTCATGGAGTGGAGTTTCAGTGATCTCATACAAGATGAATGCACTCAAGGAAGAGCATCATTGTTGAGTATGTGGGGTTAGCTGCCATCGTGAGTTTTTCTCTCTGTGGTTCCAGAAGGACATCTAGAGCCCTCTCTGGATATGCATATATGAACCTCATGGATAGGGCAGGAAGGAAAATGGAGTGATATAGAATCAGGAAGCTCACAGAAGGGAGGAAGGAGAAGATGTGGAAAAGAGACAAATGCTGTAACCCAACTGAGGGGCTACATATGGGTGAAAATGAAAATGTGACAATGAGGAGAAAGTTTTCCACTGGATTGAACCAAGATCATCCCTTGAGAGTTTCAGTGTGGACACTGATTACGGATGCATGGGATTTCTGGGGTTAAGAGTTGTCATGCATGTTTACAAGAAAAGACTTTTCAGTCCCCTGACCAAAGAAGCTTCTCCAAATCACAGAGTCCAAAGGTCTTGCCGTTTGAGTTTATATGCCTTCTTCAGTTCTCCCTTTCCAGATCTCTTAAAAATTATTTACCATATTTGAGTTTTGTAAGCATGTGGAAGGAACTATTAAAATGACCATTTTCTTTCACATGATAGTGAAAAGTCTGGCTTAGTTACACTTCACTAAAGGATGTATGATGTTTTCTGTCTCCTCAGACAGCAGCCTGTGGAATAGGTCTATCCCTATATATGCCTGGAACAAATTAGAACTTTCTATTCTACCTGAAGACAGGAAATGTACGTCTGTAACTCATGATTTATGAGCCACCCAGAAGGATGAAAGATAAACATTCAATGACAGGAGGCACCCAGTTTATAATATAACTTATTTATATTCATAACATATTTAGTAGAAGCAACTACATAAAGATATGAATTTTCTTATTACGTAAACCACAAGTCAACATCAGTAGCTCATTTAGCAGTTACTGTCTGAATGACTGGTAATATCCATATATGTTAAATTTGGGGTTATTTTAAGGAGAGGATATAATAATTGTGGCCATGAAATGTCAGTGAATATTAAAAATACTATGCTAAGCACTTTAGAGCTGTATTTGGCTGTGCTCAGTAAGGCTTAAGTAAACTCTTTAGTGAACTAATAATCATACGTTACCCCCAAAGCCATCAATGACTTATATTAGGAATCTGACTTAAGCCTCTATTTTATCTTTAACATAAAGAAAATGGCAAATAAACTCCCAAAGAAATCTCACTAAAATAATCCTTGTTACAGTCCAAGAAACAATCTCTATAAATTACTTGCCCTCCTTCTGTGCCCCCTCTTGCCAAGCCCCATGACCAGAACAGTGACAAGCAACTACAGGGTATGGAAGACCTAGTGTGTAGGGTAATCAATGGTTTTCCCACCTTTTCACACATGCCAAGACCTATTCATTGATATATTTTATTGCTCTAGTTAGGAATCACCTGGGAGTCTGAGTGGAATGAGGAATTCATTCATATATCCACAAATGCCCTGAAATGGGCTCACTTCTCCTGAAATGAGGCTCTTCTCTCTGACCCTGCAACATCTGTATAATAGGGGACGCCAGCTCCAGTCCCTTTAAACACCATTGTTCTCAGATTCTCAGCAGAGTTGAGGATCACCTAGGAGGATTAGAGATGAGTGAGACTTGTGCCTTAACAAGAATACATACTGTTTATCAAAAATCACATTTATACCAAGCATTTTCCATTCTTTTTTGTCTTGACGAAATAGCTGCTGCTGCCAAGAATGGATGAATGAGAGTCACATTGGCAGTGGCTGTGCCATTTTGATAGATGGGTGGAGAAACAATTTATCATTTGACATATACTGTCTACTCAGATTCAGTACCAATGAACAAAGGTAATCATTTCATATAGAATAGAAAAGACTGAAAGTTAACCTATACTCATTTCTATAATTAAATAAGTGTAGAAGAAATGTATGATTATTTGAATCACAATATTAGGCTAATAATACCTTGTCCCTAATCATCTTTATGTGAACAATGGCCTGTTTCAAATCCAATTACACTTAACTGAGGTCAGCACCAAAGTCTTGGAGTTCACAATGTTCTCCATAGTGGTTCATTTTAAGATATAACTGTTTTCATCATGAAATTAAATTTTGTTTCCTAATTTGCATGCTATATTTTAATATTTAATTTCCTTAAATATAAAGTCAGCATACTTGGTTTACAGGTGGAAGGATGTCTTTCAGGATGAGTATGGATATGGGTATTTTTGTTTTGGTTTTTTGGCAATACTAGTGTTTGAACTAATGTCCTGCTTGCAAAGCAAGTGCTCACCTATTTGATCCACATTCACAGATCTTTTTTTGCTTTAGTTGCTTTTAAATAAAGTCTTGTGCTTCTGCTCAGCAGGGAACACAGATTACAATCTTTCGACTGTGCCATCCTGTGTAGCTGGCATTACAGTCATGCCCCACCCTGCCTGGCTTGTTCTTTCATATTCAGTCTCATCAACTGTCTTCCTGGGCTAGCACAGAACTGCGATCTTCCTATTTCTGCCCTTCTAAATTTCTGGGATTATATGTGTGAGCCACCATGCCCAGTTAATGGGAATTTCCTAATTATTATCTTTCAGGATATGACTTTTATTTTTTGGTGGTTCTTGCTTTTAACTCAAGGCCTCAACATGAGTAAAACCCAAAGCAAAATTTATTTTCAGTTTTGAGTAGGTGTCAAACTACATCAGAATTGTCATAAGGGCTGGGGAACAATTCCCACATAAACTGGGTTCTTTTTGACTCTATAAAACCATAGATAATAAAAATCTGTTATTTTAACTTTCACAGCCTCAGCTTCTTGTGTTTTGCATAAGTCCAGTGTCTGCCACTACACACATTATTCTCTCTGTTTCACGCTGTCTCCACATGGACATTTTCTTATAAGGATGTCAGACCTATTGGACCTGGGAACTCCCTACAATGTAACACCTCATCTTAACTAATGTCATGCAGAATGAACACTACTTTTTAAATTAGGTCAAATTCCTTTTAATAGGGATCAAGAGAATCAATGTATTTCCTCAGAGGAGATACTTTACATGTAACAAAAAAGAAGAAAAATTCATTCCAAGTGTTTAGTAGTTTTCACATTTTTAAAGTGATATGAAAGGCATTTTGTTGAATTAAAATGAAACCTAATGAAATGAACTAAGTATCATACAAAAGCAATTTTCTGGGCTGGCTATGTGGCTCAAGTGGTAGAATGCCTGACTAGCAAGAATGAGGTCCTGAATACAAACCTAGTACCACCAGAGGGAAAAAAATTTTTCTGCACTTTGCTCATAGATGGAAAAAAATCAGTAGAAATGTGTTAACCTCAGTTCTCTTTCAGTGCCAGTATTTTCTGGACTTTTGGAAAAATGTAGCAACTGAATTCTGCTTTTGTGCAACACCTCCATATTAATAAATTAACTTAGTTCCCTTCACCTTTCTCTTGATGAATAATGAGTATAAAGTTTCCTGACAATTCAGTCTTAAGTGACTTTAGACAAGTTCAGAAGGCCAAAAACTGCATGTTTTCTCTCATATGTGAAATATAGACCTAACACAAGTACAACAATGTTATGAAAAACATGTCAAACTAATGGTACGTCATATATCAGAAGGTGAGGGTAAAAGAAGGAAGTTAAGGTGAATATGGTTGATGTACTCACTACACAAAAATGAATATAGAATTTTTCAACCTATTGAAACCACCATAAGAAAGGTGCTAAAGTAGAAAGAAGAAAAACACAAGAGAAGAACTAATCTAGGCTATATTACATATATACCTAGAGGTGCCACAAGGAAAGTTAATGTGTAGCTATCTTCAACAAGCAAAAATGTCATCTTTTTTCTTCTGCAAAATCAGAGAACAGGAGAGCAGAACAAGTTCTGCCTGGGGGGTTGGTGACAATGGGAGTGGGGAGAAAAGTGTAGGGGAGGGTGGGTGAATATATTGCAAATTCTGTGTACACATGTATATAAATGGAAAAATGATACTTCAAGGAACTATTCCAGGAATGGGGGGAGGGAGAGATAAAAAGGAATGGTGGAGCGGGTGAATTTAAGAATGAAGTATTTGATATACTGTAAGAACTTTTGTAAATTCCACAATGTACTCCCACCTAGCACAACAATAAAAAGAAGAGAAAAATAAAATGAAACAAATCAAACAAAGCCTAAATAGAGTTGAAACGGGAAAAAAGATATATCTACAGTTACAGTTGGCAATTTCAACAATATAAATTCTA